ATCACCGCGTTTGTCTCAAACGGTGAATAATAGGTAGGTGTGACCTAATTTTGACCTACCAGGGGTGGGAAACGTGGGAATATATCACCGCTTTACCCTAAAACGGTGAAGGTAATCACCGTTGTCAACAAAAACGGTGATGTATTCACCGTCTTCCACAAACGCGGTGAATACATCACCGTTTTAGATAAAGGCGGTGAATACGTCACCGTTTTGGTTTTAAACGGTGATGCTCAAACATGTGTAGTTTTGGAATTTTTTTTATAACTTATGTATTTTGGGAATTTTTTTTAAGAACGTGTGTACTTTGGGATTTTTTCCCAAAACAAAGCATTCCCTTTTTAATTTGTCTATTTTAACAAGAGTTAAATAAATACTTATGTTGTGCTCACTCTTAAATCTTTACATTGCAGAGTGAGGTTTCACGCTTCCTTATGGTTCTTAAAGCTTTCTAAAGCCAAAATGTACATTATACAAGAGCAAGATATAGATTTCATGAAAATAAATTCATTGTTACACTTGTTCAGTTCTGTAGGTTTGCAGCCAAGGCACAAGTACAACCTATGCAGAATGAGAAGCTTGCAGGTTGCTGCTGTTGCGACTGTGATCCTCTAATTTGGTATCGTTATCATTATTTTCTTTCTCCTTTACCCACTTGCCACCTCATCATGTAGAACCTGGCTGATATGATTGTTGCTTCAATTAAGCTGCCAAATTTCAACAAGCAAGGGAATCAGTTTATGCCTATATGGCATTAGACTTATGAGAATATCGACAAACACAGTTCAAGAGTTTCCTTCCAAAACCAGCTTCCCATAATCGTTTTCAGTTAAACCAAAGTTGTAATGTCGCTAAAAATAACACACAACATCATACTAACCACGCCATATAACATGCTACGAAGTCGAGAATAGCTTTAGATATCATTTGACATTCATAAGAGAGAGTTTTAGACCACCACTTTCTAATTCAGCTACCAAGTTTATTTTTTTAGTTTCTTAAACCAAGGAACTTCGCATTCCGCTTTGACATTTCCAACTAGAAGGATGCAGCGCAAGGGGACGCCGTAGAGGGAGGGCGATTCACACTTCCTATGGATTTGGATCGTCGGTATCGGCAGAGTACTTCGACGAAGCCAGAAAGGTCGGTCGGAACAAGGGATTAGTGCTTAGATTTACACAATCGATGGAGTAGGAGGAATACAGTAATGGATTTAGTGCAGGGTGTGGAGTTTGGATCGGTGATTGTGGCGTTCGCCGGAGTTCTTTTCAGAATCAGACGACGAGAGATAAGAGGAAGATGTGTATGGTATTTTTTTTCATAGATAGGTGTATAATGTCATCAATAGATGTACAATGCAGTATGCTTACAAATATATAGAAAATGAAATAAGCAAATGCGGCGGTCGATAGCTAATCAATTCGCCGATAAAAGAGCCTTTTTAGCCACTAAATGGGCAGCTCTGTCAGTATCCTAAGAAATGCAACAAATGATGTAAGCGGATACACAACACGCGCCAAATCCTGAGAAGCCGGAGGATATATCATCTTTGCTGATATCAAAAGCAGAGCAGCCATTCCCTGCAGAATAAACCAACAAAAGGAAGAAAACAAAAAACACAGCTAGCTGCCAAATAAATCTATAAGATATGTACCAGCTAGGACTATATCCATGCCATTTCCTTCAAAACAAACGAACAAAATGTTATACCAATCTTTTTCTAAGGCAAAATGACGATTATGCCGTTGGTCCGAATTTGTCAAATTTCACCGTAATGTCGAGGAGGACTAAAAATGTGAACTATCGGTTCAAGCGGTGTCGAATTTCAACATCAAATGAGAAAGTTACGGACATTAATCGAGTTTCGGATTAAACTCACCCGGTTCCTAATCAAACGTCAAGTCCCAAAAATACCCCCTTAGTTTAATTAAACCCTACCAAACCCGAGAGCACCATCTAATTAACCCTAAACCGTCTCCACTATCCTGTTCGGCATGATACGAGGGCGGCGGGGAGAAAGCGGCAGAACTGAACGTCGGGGGTGAGAGGGATCTCTGGCCGGAAAGGCAGCCCTCCCTACGACGAGAGCTGCTAGCTTAAGCAAGCTCGTCCGACAGCAAGGCCGAGCGGGATCTGTGGCTGCAAAGCGATAGGCAGCCCTCCCTACCACGAGAGCTGCTAGCTTAAGCAAGCTCGTGCGAGAGCGAGCCCGAGCAGGATCTAAGCCATAGCGATCGGCAGAGGATTGGCTGCATAGCGATGGGCAGTCCTCCCCTACAGAGCTGCTAGCTTTAAGCAAGCTCGTCCAGCCATCCTCCTACAAAGAGAGCTGATTGTTAAGCAAGCTGGTCCATTTTATTCAAGCAAGTAGGAGTGTACTATTATTTTGGAAGCGAGTATGAAATCATTGGAGCAAAAATCAGAGCCAGTTCCGACAGAAGTAAAGTGAGTGTAAGGGGGTAAATTCTACGCCTTACGTATTTTAAAGTATTTGTCTTATGAGTTTTAAGTATTTTGTGAAGTAGTTGCTATTGTTTGATTGTGCTTATGATTGATGACATGTGATATTGTTTGAGCTATGCTTGATGTGAATGTGCATGAGGTCTTAGTTAATTTAAAGCTTTTCGTTTATAAGTTATTGTTAAAGTTAAGAAACAAGTTCTTTTTAAGAAGTAACTCACCTTCAAGAAGGTGAAGTCGTTTTAAGTGTTTTTAGTCACTAGCGCCAGTCCGTTGCCTTTTGAGACATTTCGAGATAGAGCAGCAGTTATGCTCTTGAGACTTTTAAGATGTGCAACAGTTATGCCCTTGAGAATCGTGGTGAAGAGCCACCACGATAAGTTTAAGATGTTAGGGGGGATGAATCGTTACGACTTCTCTAACTAAGTTTAAGTTTAAGGAAAGCCTGAATGGCTTCTCATACGTATGAGTTGGGCAACTGGACTAGCTAGTGAGGGATCCCGTGTCAGTCAAAGGATTTAAGTCAAGTTTTGAGCTTTAAGAAGGGAGAGTAACTTTAACTCCCGAAGAATTTTATGAGTTAAGATTGTTGAGAATGGAAGTACAGAACAACTTCCACTAGTCAAAGTTAAGTGTTTAAGTAAAGTACTCAGGTATTAGAATTATTAAAACGTAAGGGCGTAGACTTACCCCAACTCACTCACCAGGCCTTAGTAAGGGAATGAGCGAGAACCAGATCGGTAGTAGCTAGCTAGAGGAGCAGTTAGAGAGCAGCGAGTTCGAGAGGAAAACTTCGAGAGCAACCAGTTAGAGGAGGGCAGTGCAAGCGTCGCGGAGGATGCCTAGTTAAGATTTTCAGTAGCAGCAACGACAGAGACTACCTAATTATTTACATTTTATGATTATGAGTATAGACTGGAGAACATATTGAGATTTAAAATTTGAGTTTAATTTGTCCACGTGTTAGGGCTTTGCTTTGAACTACAAGTGTGTTTTCAGTATTTTATTTATGAAAATTTTTCCCGCTGAAATTTAAGATTTGAGTATTTTATTTGTCAAGGGCATTTTAGTAAAATTAGTACCCGGCCGGGTTAGGGTGTTACACAAAAAGACAAGAGGGTTCGACGAAGCAAGAAACAAATAAAATAAAGAAAAACAGGGTAGTGCTAATCCACCCCCACTGATGCTCAAGTACCACGAACCAATTAAAGAATGAAACTCATTCAGATCAGTACAAGCAAAAAGATAATGCTATTTCATTGAACTAATAGTACGCTTAGCAAGCAGACCTAAATTACTAAATTAGAAGTTATGACTTTTAGAACACCAAAGCAAAAGGCCTCATCCCGCTAGCAGAGCAAATGGACAGAATTGTTAATTAAAATAATAATAATGCTTATCTCCACCGTTAGCGCAGCAAAAAGGAACTGATCCTGTTTTGGATTATGATGAAGTCACATCGGCGGGCAGCAGGCGGCAGGCAGTAAGCGGTCCAGAGTCGGGGTTCTGAAGTCTGACTACTAGTAGGGGTGTGCAATGGTCCGGTCCGTACCGGACCAAACCGGACCAAACCGTTGTTAAGACCGGACCGGACCAGACCGAGTAAAATGCGGTCCGGTCCTTGGTCCTAATGAATTTTATAATTACTGAAGAAATGGTGGAACGAGCTCATATTTGGACCGAACCGGACCAAATGGACCAAATGCAAGAATGGTCCGGTCCTTGGTCCTAACATGTCTTTCACTAATGGACCGCGGTTCTCATAAGTTTGGTCCGGTCCGGACCGAACCGAACCGTTGCACACCCCTAACTACTAGAGATAATCGCCGATCTTCAACTTGAACTGGATAATACGAACTAGTTGGCCGATTGAAAGCGGGTGAAATCGCAAGGTCCTGCTAAATGAACAAACGGAATAACGCCTTTCACAACACTCAACAACTACATCAAAATAAATTGAAACAGGCCATAAGCCTCAATCGAACTCCGATTAACGAAGTCGTAATCAATTATGAATCAACAAAAAACAAAGTAGATGGAAGAATAGGGAGTCAAAGCATGGTTCAGGAAACCGTACCGGATATCATACTGGATTCCTTTTTGGTAGGGTATTTTATGGTACGACCGTGTTTCAACCATTCTACACCGGTAAATACCGTTTTTGTAATAATAAAATATTTTTTTCGTCAAAATACCATACCGACAAAATCAGGATACCGTACCAAAGTAATACCGGAATAAAACCGAAATATACGGGCCACTGAAATATTAAATAATCATAACTACTATATAATCGGCCCTCCTACTTCATTAACGTGCCACATATGACCAAAATAAAATGGATATTTTATTCCATCACTAAAAATGCTGCCGGTTGAAACAAAATTGAGTAAAAAAAAAAATACCCTCACCTCCCACTCGGCACTCACAAACCACACGAAACCGAATTCCCCACACAATTATGAATTTCCATTTGGCCATTTCCCAATCTCCGCAACTGCTCTCTTCTCATACGGAAATCTATATTCCCTATTTCCAATTCATCTTTCGGATTCATCCATCACCCTTTGCTTCTTTCATCTTATCACCTCCCTCCCCACTTTGATTTCTCCCCAAGCCCCAAGGCAGACCTACCTCCTCTAGCGAAAGTGAAGTTGGGAACGACGGATGAGGCTTTAGAGTCGGGGAGTGCCGAGGGAGAGCAGAGTCATGGTCGCTGGCGTCGCATCCTATTCATCCGTGGTGCCTCCCATCCGAGTCTGAATCTTCCCAAATCTCACATTGCAACCCAATCGTTGTAAAGCCCTATCTCTATTTTTTATCCCTAGATTAATCCCTCACCCTCTTATCTCTCTCTACTCTCTAAGCCTCTCCTCCTTCTCCAGACTCCTCACCCCCTTCTCTCTCTCTCTACTCTCTCCTCCGTCTCCAAATTTCAAACTCGCGGTTTCATTGCTTGCATGTATTCGGCGGCGGCGCGATTGAAAAGGAGGAAAGCTCCCCCACCGCTGAGGATCCCTCCCAGGGTTGTGAAGACTGAAGAGAGACGAGACGCGCATCCCGCCTCAGATCTGGATAGGGTGTCGTCGTCGTCGCATGCTACCGCAGATCTGGATAGGGTGCCTCCGCTGTCGCATACTGGCGTAGATCTAGGATCTGGATCCCTCTTGGTAAAATGATTCTGTTTTTGTTTAATTCAGATTTTTTGTATGCTTTTGCTAATATGTGATTTTATTTTTGGTTGGTTTTCTTAGTTTCAATGGCCGGCGATGAGATGAGAACGGAAAGAGAAAGATGTGTTGGTCTCTGGTGGCCGGCCAAAGGCCACCGTCGGTGTCGGTATATCAATAACTAGGGATGGCGACATCAACAAGGCAGGAAGATGGAAAGATGGAGAGGATTTTGGACTTGGCTAGGGTTTTAGTGTTAGAGAAAGTCGGCTTGGGCTGTGGGCTTGTAATTGTTGGTCGTGGGCTTGTAATTGTGGGCTGTATGTGTGAGAGGGTGAGGAATTTTAGTTTGTTCGGTCGAAATTCGGAATACCGGATTCGGTTGAGCAAATCCTGGTTTCCAAAATATAGGGTTCTGTCTTCCGAATTCCCAACCGAATAACATTAATTCGGTTTTGGTTCGGTCAAGTTCGGTTTCGATTGGGGTCGGTTCGGATTTACTGAACCGGATGCCCACCCCTATCTGTGCTATTAGCCATTATCCACTAAACAGTGTTCACCTAACAACTAATTGAGGGAAATGAAAACGATAACTTTTAACAAAAAAGGGACAACATCTAAGTAAAACGACATAGTCTTGTAGTTCTTCACTTCTGTGTCTTCTCCATTCTGCAATCCACATAGCTCTCGGATTCAGTCCTTGACAACCTTCTGCATTAGCTTATTATTCCTGATATCCCCCCTCAAGTTAGGGGTTCCAACATGTTTGTGACTCCTAACTTGATTAACATATCACGCATTTTAAAACGATCCAAACCCTTTGTAAACAGGTATGCTAATTGATTTGCATTACCAATATGATTCAACTTGATCAAACCACTTTTAATGCGATCTCTGGTAACATGTATATTAATTTTTATGTGCTTTGTTCTTTCATGGAACACTTAATTTTTAGCAATATAAATTGCACAGAAGATAGAAATAGGTAGAGGTACCTTAACTGTAAGCTCACCCATCAATTGTTTCAGCCACTGAATATCACAAACAATGTGTGCCAATGCCCTGTACTCTGCCTTTGAAGAAGATCTTGACATAGTTGTCTGCTTCTTTGTCCTCCATGTCAGCAACAAATCACCAATGAAGGTACAATACCCTGTAAATGACCTTATTATGTCAGGGCAACTTGCCCAGTCAGAATCACAGTAGCCAGTGAGCTTCAGATCATTCCTGCTACTGAAATGTATTCCTTGCCCTGGGGCTAATTTCAAATACCTCAAAACCCTGAAGGCAGCTTGCATGTGTTCTTGGCATGGACTTTTCTGGTAATGGCAGAGTTGTTGAACCGCAAAAGCTATGCCTGGCCTGGTGATAGTCAGATAATGTAACCTCCATACTATCCTTGTTTAGGCTTATCCATCTTCTAGAAGCATCCCTTGTGCTGACAATATAACCTTTGTATCCATTGATGATTTACACCCTTCGGATTCCAAATAACCAGTTTCCTTTAACAACTCAACACAATACTTTATTTGACATACATCTATGCCCTTTTCATTCATCACAACTTCAAAACCCAAGAAGTACTTTAAGGGTCCCAGAAGTTTGATTTTAAATTCCTTACTCAAGGCTGACTTTACCTGATCAATGTTTTTGTGTGCATCTCCAGCTAGTACTATATCATCAACATATACCAACAAGACCACAACTCTACCGTGCATTCATTTGAAGAAAAGTAAATAATATGAAATTGACTGTGAAAAGCCATTGTTGAGAAGGAAACCTGCAAGCCTAGCAAACTACTGCGTGGAGGCTTGTTTTAAACCATATAATGACTTCTTAAGCCTGCAAACCAGATTCTTCCCTGCTGGGTTAGGAACTTTAACTCCCAGTGGTATCTTCATGTACACTTCTCCATTTAATTCACCATGTAAAAATGCATTAGACACATCTAACTGCTCCAAAACCCAATTCTTGGCACTTGCCACTACTAAGAGTGCCTTAACAGTATTGATCTTTGCCACTGGTGAAAATGTATCAAGAAAATCAATGCCATAACCTTGATTAAAACCCTTGACTACCAGTCTTGACTTGCATCTTTCCATGGATCCATATGGTTTGAGCTTAATCTTAACAACCCATTTGTTGCCTATGGCATTCTTACCTTGCCTATGGCATTCTTACCCGTTGGCAGTTCCACAATATCCCATGTCTGATTTTACTCTAATGCATGTATTTCTGACTTAACTGCATAATTCCATATATCATCCTGAATAGCTTCATAATATGACTTTGGCTCTTGTATATTGACCACACTGAGTGCATAATGCCTGTCATCAGGAGTTAGTTTATCAATACTCACACAAATAGGATACCTCCTACAAGCATTCACTGGACAAAAAACTCCAAACTTCAGAGAAGGGTCTAGTTGATAATCTTGATACTTAGTTGGCATTTTAATCTGCCTTTTAGTAGGTAAAGTTCCATTACAAGTCTGCTCATCTTCATCAAAATCAGCTTGTGGCAACAATTCCTGGGTATCACTTTTAAAATACTCATAGTGATCCATGGCAGTAGGCAATGGGCAATGACTCACTGTTTCCTCCTTCATCCATGGATGAATCAGAGCGAGGCAATGATGGAGAACTGCTAGAAGGAGTGTCAGGTGAGATGGAATTGGTAGGAGAAGAAGCAGGTATGGAAATTGGACGGTGATCAGAAGAGGAAAGTGGTGTATAACTAGGAGTAGGAGAAGGAGTGGAAGAGGAAGGATCTGGAAATTTGTAAGGGAGAATTGTTTCATAGAACACTACATCCCTAGAAAAGAAGACTTGTTGATTGTGCAAGTCTAGGACCTTGTAGCCCTTAATACCAATAGGGATACCTCGAAAAATGCACTTCCTTGCTCGTGGAGCAAACTAAGTTCTCCCATGAGATAAGGTACTTGCATAACATAAGCAGCCAAACACCTTAAGGTGGCTTAAAGAAGATTGCTTGTCATACAAAACTTCAAAGGGAGATCTGTTGGTTAACAAGGGAATAGGAATTATGTTTATCAAGTGAACTGAATGGAGGATACAATCACTCCAAAAGGTAGGAGGCACTACTGATTGGAACCTTAAAGACCTGGCAACATTAAGGATATGCTGGTGTTTTCTTTCAACACGAGCATTATGCTCAAGTGTTTCAACACAACTCATTTGATGTTCAATACCCTCCTGTGAGAAGAATTCACACATGGCAAATTCCTTCCCCTGATCACTTCGAATCACCTTAACTATGTACCAAACTGATTCTTTACCAATTGGCAGAATCCTTTCAATAACTTCCTTAATTCACTCTTATGTGCATAGTTAGTAAAATACGGTACGAGAAAGTTACGTGTAAAATACGTACGAGTATCTTACTTCATCTCTAACCTAATGTTATGTTTAATAGTACGTTAATAGTCATAAATATATAAAATTAATTATTTTAATATTAGTATAATATATAAATAATAGTAAAGTTACCATTTAATTCATTAAATACGGATATTAAACGTGTTATACGGGTTTTGTACGTGTTTAGTACGAGAGCCATCAAATGACGGAAAGAAATGAAACGACTTGACAATAATACGGATACAGAAGTTTTAAACAGATAAATTATGTACAAGTACATATACGTGTATTAAATGGAGTATTTATGAACTATGCTTATGTGTTAGTAAATAGACCCAAACAGCACGAGAATAGTCATCCGCAATAGTAAGGAAATAATTGAAACCATCATAAGACGTAACAGACAATGGCCCCCAAATATCCATGTGAAGTAAATGAAATATGTCTGGTGCTACATTGGTGCTAACAGGAAAACAAAGTCTTTTGTGATTAGATAAATGACACACATCACAGTGTTTGGTCCTAGAGCTAGTTATAGAGGGTGTACTATGACTAAGGAGTGTCTACCTGTCATGATTGGGACGGCCTAGTCTCCAATGCCAAAGCTCTAATTGATGTGGGTTGAAGTTGAAAAGGGAAGCTATTCGAGGTTGTGAAGGTGATGAAGTGTGTTGTTGCTTTGTGGTACAGAGGGAAAGGTGATAGAGGCCTCTAGTTTCTTTTTCTAAACCAATCGTCTTCTGACTTAGAAGGTCCTTAATTGTTAGAAACATAATTTTCGTGTTCTAGCATATTTATTATTATCGTTATTATTAGATTAATTCTTATTATAGTTAGTAGTTTTTAGTCGTATTAGGTTTATTATTAGGGTTTTCTCATATTCCCTATAAATATGTACTGTGAGTTTGTGTTACAATTAATCAAGAAAGATCTATCAAATAATCTCCTAAAACCTAATCTCTCCCTATCCTCTCAATTCTCGATCCCTATCCCTCCAAGGCCTCGGCCGATTCTCTATTCTATTCTTCTTCTTCCCCAAATCCCCAATCTCAATCCCTAATTCTATTCGTATAAACCCTAATCCCCAAATATCAAATCCGTTAGAAACTTTGTTTCTAACATCTGGTATCAGAGCCTGGTTCCGACCGGCGAGTTTTTTCTCAACTCCCTCAGGGACAGCTTCCGGCCAGGAGAGTTACCAAGGAAAACAATGGAAAAATCGGAGCAGACATGGGCTCAAAAGCAAGAAAGAATGTGGCAGATCGTGGAGTATTGGAAGGAGCACGGGCTGCGTACTGCCGCGAAGGATGGTGAGGACCACGCGGCGGGTGGGCTGCCGCTATTCGCCGCTGCTGGCGGGGACAAGGTGAACGTCGTGCAGCCAGATAAAATCCTAATGAGTGCGACAAACATCTCGGAGCCGACGTGGGCTCAACGACGGGAGCAGCTGCGCCAAATCGTCGACTTTTGTAAAATGAACGAGTTGCGACGTGAGAAGGCAGGAGGTAAGAACACAGGCGATGCCGCGAAGGAGCTGTCATCAACAAGAGCTGACGAGGCCGACGTGACCAGTGGGCTGCCGTTTGCTACAAGCGCCGAGGCCGACAAAGCGGCGGAAGTCACCATCGGAGGGAGCAACCAGGAACCGGTGTTGGAGGCTGTGGTCGGAGACGCGATAGAGGAGCAGCAGCAGCTGCACCGACCCGTGATGGTGGACGAAGGCGGGACACCGTACGCGCGCAGCGAGGACCCTGGACTGCCGTCGCCGAACTCCTCGCACCCGATGGCTGGCCTTTCTCCTCCAGCCACTCTGAGGTTCCGTGCGCAGGTCGAAGAGCGACAAGCATTGACCGAGGAACAGTCATCCCCCGCAACAAGCCTATTGGTTGTTGTTTCGCATGACACCACAGTTGTTCCTACCAAACTAAGCCGACCAACCATAGAGTCGCCCACAAGAGAGAATGATTATGGAGTTTGGACTACCCATGTTGATCGAGTTAGGCTGCATCAAGGAGGTGAGTTCGGTGGAATTACTCGTGAAGTAATTATAATGAATAGGGTCACGGTATGCCAAGGGAAGGAAACGCAGTCACTAGTATTTGCTGGGTTTAGTAGGAGAATAATATTGGCCACTATCGTAACGTTTATGGTTGTGAGTGGAAGGGCCCTTCTCCAATTGTTTTTATGGAAGTTTTGGAAGAAAGAACGAG